GACATGCTACAACATGGATGAACCTTGAAGACATTATGCTAAGTAAATAAACCGAACATAAAAGGACAAATATTGTATGATTCCATTTATTAGCGATACCTAGAGTCTGTCTCTTATACACATCTAGATGTGTATAAGAGACAGGAGCAATAGGCATAAACTGGGACTGTCCTAGGCCTGTCTCTTATACACATCTATAGGCATAAACTGGGACTGTCCTAGGCAAACTGAGACAAATGGTCACCTGAATTCTAACTTGATTAACACATACTTTTGTCTTGTCTTAAAGAGAATTTAAGGCTGGGCACAGTGGCTCAGCTTGTCATGCTAGCACTTTGGGAGGCTGAGGTGGGAGGATCGCTTGAGCTCAGAAGTTTGAGACCAGCCTGGACAACATAGACCCTGTCTCTATCAAACAAAAAAAAACCATAATAATACTTTTAAAAGAATTTAAGGCTACTTACAAAAATATCTGTAACAGGTTTTGTTGTCGTTGTTTTAGATAGGGAAATTTCAGGGAAGGAGGGTGAGGGTAGTAGACCACGATTATAAAGCAAGAACCAGGAAGCTTCCTCAAATATCTGGAAAGTCAAGTGCAGTTTCACAATTGCATTCTAAGATTTAGTTGTGGAAAGGGTTTGAAGAATCTCCTCCTCTTAAATGGTGAAAATGGTGGCTAGGAAGTGTAGTAAAGAAGAAAGAAGTGTGATGATTTGAGAAGGAAGTATCCTGACTGCTCCACTTTCAACACTTTCAACACCATCCTGGAAAAGGGAGAAGAAGAAGAGAAGAAAATGGGTACTACACCAGTGTTGACCAGGTGACTAAAGGTGGTGAGATGGTTTCATACGTGCAGTTTATTCCCTTTAACATCCTTCCCCTCCACTGCTGACCTTCATATATAAATGGTATCAGTTATATTCATTCTCCCATTTAGCTGAGAGCCATGTTGACATAAAAGGCAACCAATGAGAAAAGTGCAGACCAGGCCGGCCTGTAATCCCAGCACTTTGGGAGGCTGAGGAGGGCGGATCACTTGAGGTCAGGAGTCTAAGACCAGCGTGGCCAATATGGCGAGACCCTATCTCTACTAAAAATACAAAAATTAGCCAGGTCTAATGGCGGGTGCCTGTAATCCTAGCTACTCGGGAGGCTGAGGCAGGAGAATCGCTTGAACCCGGGAGGTGGAGGTTGCAGTGAGCCAAGATCACACCATTGCACTACATCCTGGGCAACATGAGCAAGAC